GCAGGATGCGGGATCGGCGGCGCGGGCCCTGGCGCGGTCGGGCCGCCAGGAAATGAAAACAATATACAAAAAGTCTGCTCGCCCTCACCCACTAGCCTCGGGCCGGACGAAAGAGGGGGATTGGGAAAGGGGGGGGTACGAAATTTGCTGCATGCAGCTGGTTTCGGCCTCACCGAGGGGCCCCTGCCTCGATACGTAGCCGCCTTGATCATTTGGCGAAAAAACAACAACGCACGAAACCGAACAAAACACGGGGAATGGACGTCCGAGCGATGGCCAGGTGGGGTCTCGGTCGGTTTTTGTTGTTGTTTCCCATGCAGGTGGGGTCTTCCTAGCCGCTGATGCCAAACCTCCTTCCCCCTGCCGTCGGTCCGACTATCAGGCCGACCCCGCAAAGTCAAGGTTGCCCTCGCGCCCTGTCTCGTTGCCCAGTCGCACGTCCTCCTTGTTGTGTAGGGCACGGGCTGCTCCCGCAAGAGACTGTGTCCTCTCGTGTGCTTTCTGCGCTCAGCTCGGGCTGCAAACTCGGATTCCCCCTCCCTTGGCGACAGGGTGAGTGCCATTACGCCAGGGTGTGAATTGCGATCTCTTCGTTGGTGGTTGCGTGGCGCCACGTTGCGCCAACGGCATGTCGGGGCGCGGCGGGAAACTCCATCGAAACCCTCGCCGGCCCTCCCGCTTATGGGTTGCAAGCCGAGCCTCCTGCAGTCCACACCCTTCGGAACCGCCCCCCTCCCCCCTCATGTTCCAGGCTCTCCGAGGGTGCCTCGGGCGAAGGTCAGCGGCACCGCAACGGGCACTCTTGAACGGACACTGTGGACAATTGCCGGAGGTTGCCAGCCCAGGGCCTTTTTTTTCTGGCATGGCAGCATTGCCCTCAGCGGGGATGATAAAACGACGCGAAGATCGGGACAAAATCGGATCGGGATAACTCGAAATCTCTGAGAATCGGCGGGTTTGGAGGATGTATTGGGCGCCGCGGCCGCTCCAGAGCATTCCGGAACGCTCTGAGAGCGCTCCGGAACGCTCTGGAGCGATTTATCCCGATCCTAGCTCTGTTTTAGATGAGAGTGGGTTCGCCTGGTCACTGGCCGTTCGAGGGGCGCCGAGAAGGGGGCCTCCAGGGCCTGAAGCCCGTGCGGCGAGGTCTCCTGGGACTTGTCGGGGCTCCCGCGCGGTGTGTCGCCGCGCCGCCGTGGGAGGAGGAGGAGGAGGAGGAGGAGGAGGAGGAGGAGGAGGAGGAGGAGGAGGAGGAGGAGGAGGAGGAGGAGGATAGGAGGAGGAGGAGGAGGAGGAGGAGGAGGAGGAGGAGGAGGAGGAGGAGAGGAGGAGGAGGAGGAGGAGGAGGAGGAGGAGGAGGAGGTGGAGGAGGAGGAGGAGGAGGAGGAGGCGGAGGAGGAGGAGGAGGTGGAGGAGGAGGAGGAGGAGGAGGAGGAGGAGGGAGGAGGAGGACCCCCCCCGCGGCGGAGTGCTCCGCGCGGGCGCGGGCCGTCCCGGGGCCCCCCTCCAGAGGTGGGCTCGGTGATGCTGCTGGCGGTGCTGCTCTTCGGCGTCATCGTCTTCCCCTACAGCACCGCGGTCTGCCTGTGCACCGCCTGCCTGTGGCTCCTGTACCTCTGCGGCGAGGAGCGGGGAGGAGGAGGAGAAGGAGGAGGAGGGGGAGGGGAGGAGGAGGAGGAGGAGGAGGAGGAGGAGGAGGAGGAGGAGGAGGAGGAGGAGGAGTAGGAGGAGGGCGTGTCGAGCCCCCCCCCCCCACACACACACAACAAAACAAATATAAAGCTCCCTCGCGCCTGCGCGGGAGTCGGGGCGCAGGCTGCCCGACAACTCGGCGTGCGGGGCTGGGGGGCGCTCTCCCCCTGCCCACCTTCGCCCGCTCCTCCTCACCTTCGCCCGCTCCTCCTCGTCCTTCTAGGCCTCCTAGATGGGGTCGGAGTAGATGGGGTCGGAGGGTCGTGCCGCATCGGCGATGCATCGGCGATGCATCGGCGATGCATCGGCGAAGCGGCTCGATGTGGGGCCCACTTTTCTCCACGCCGACGTCGCCGATGCATCGCCGACGTCGGAAGTGCATCGCCGATGCATCGCCGATGTATCGGCGATGCGGCGCGATCCTCCGAACCCATCTACTCCGACCCCATCTAGGAGGCCTCTAGTCCTCCCCCATCCTCCCTCATCCCGCCTCCTCGAGACGCCGAGGCTGCGGGCGGGTCCAGGTCAAGCCTGGGCTGATGTCTGGCATGTCCCTCCACAGGAGGAGTGGTCCAGAATGGTCGAAAAGTAGTCTTGGCACGATGGTTCCATTATTTTTGACTACGTCTGAGAATTCGTTGACAACTTTCTAGTTTTCTTCCAAAACCAGCCTGTGGGAGGACATGCCCGACCTCAGCCTAGGCGCCCACGCCTCGTCCTCCTCGGGGCCGTCAACAGAAACGGCCCGGGACGAGAAGCTGATGGGAAAGGGTCGAGGCCTCCAGGGGGCCACGTTGCTAGATAAGCACGACGCACCAGGTCAGGGGAGGGGAGGAGGGCCAGATCGCAGCTCACGGGAGGGGGGGGGCGAGTTCTTGAGGCGACGCGTGTGCCCACCAGTCCATCCACAAGCGATGCACGTGAGAGTTGTTTGGGTGTGGAGATGACAGGCGGGGAGGATGAGGAGGAGAGCTACGAGGAGCAGGAGGAGGAAGAGGATCAGTATGAGGAGGATTCGGATAATCAGGGACGATGGGGAGGGCGAGGATGATAAGGAGGATGAAGGGAGAAGGAGGAGGAGGAGGAGGAGGTGGAGGGGAAGGAGGAGGAGGAGGGGGAGGAGGAGGAGGAGGAGGAGGAGGAGGAGGAGGAGGAGGATGAGGAGGAGGAGGAGGGAGGAGGAAGCCTTGTGAGAGCCACTCGTCGAGGGCTCTAGGAATTACCTTGTGTTCTCTTGGGGCCCTTTGGGGGTCCTGCTGGGACTGTGTCGGGGCCCTCTGGGGCCCTCTTTCGAGGGGTCGTGGGGTCCTCTTGTGTATCCTTGGGAGTGTCTTGGGGCTTCTTCAGGCGATCTTCGGCTCCATGGCTCAAAAAGGGGGGGGGCTTAAATTAGCACTCCCCCTGCCCCCCTTCTCCGCCGCAGGCAGAGCAATTGCCTCTTGAGGCCCTCTTCGAGTTCTCTTTGGATAGGAGGGCCTCTTGGGCCGTCTTGGGGCCCTGTTGGGACTCTCTAGGGCCATCCTGGGGCCATCTGAACGTGTCAGGGGCCTCTCGGCGGCGAAAATGCGAGAAGGCTAATTTCATGTTCCTCAGGCTCCCTTGGGGTGCTCCGTAGGCTGTCATGAACCGTCTACTGCTATCTTGAGCCATCTTGGAGGCATCTTGGGGCATCGGGGGCCATCTTGAAGTAACCTGCGGCCCAAACGGGCCGTCTGCCACCTCGCGCCCCCCCCCCTCCCCCCAAACCGCATGGAGACGGGATGAAAGATGTAAGCGCCTCCTCGGATAGGGGAAGAAGGGTCTTTGGAAGAGGGAACTCATCCCACCTGTGCCCAGAGGGCTGTCGGGATTGAGCATCGGCCCTTGGTTATCATCGGGCGCAGCCCAGACCAAACATGTTGTATTCGGATACGTGTGGGGAGCTCATCCGGCTTCATCCAACTTTTTATTGTGTGAAGTTCAGTTTAAGCTAGTTGGTTTCAATTCTTCCCAATAAGGCCTGCCAAAGGAGTCCCTGTCTAGTCCAGCTGCCTGCGGCAAACCCCGCCACCGTGCCTGTGCAACAGCGCAGGGGAAGGAGGCTGAGTGCAAGAGCATCGAAATTCTCACGAGTGGTCTGGATTGGGACGGGTCGTGAACTCGACCTCGTCTTCGTCCGCGCGGTAGTAAGGATGTCGATTTCACGCCACGCGGCAGTTCAGCGAGTGGTCTGAACTGAGGAGGGTCGTGATCTTACCTCGTCTTCGCCCGCGCGATAGGGAGGAGGAGGAAGAGAAGAAGGAGGAGGAGGAGGAGAGCCAGAACATGAGGAGGAGGAGAAGGCTTCTTGGGGCCCTCTTGGGGCCGAGCCTCCTGAGGGCCTGTCAGGGGCCTCTGTTTGAGCCTTCTGGGGCCTCTTGGGGGTTTTCTGTGGCTTTTTTGATCGCCTTCGGGGACTCGTGGCCCGTCTGACGACTTCGGAGGGCGTCTTGGGGGCTTCTTTGGGCCGTCTTGGTGCCCTTGGAGCGCTTCGGGGCTGTCTTGGGGCCCTCTTGGGAGCCCCTTGGGCGATCTTTGGGTTCTATTGGGCCGACTTGTGGGGGTCTCTTGGGCTGACTTGAAACTATCTTGGCGGCCTCTCCAGGACGACCTCTTGGAGCCGTCTTCTCTTGGAGCCCTCTTGGGCCTGGTAGCCTCTTGAGGCTATCTCTTGAGCCGTCAAAGGCCATCTCGGGCCGTCTCGGTGTCATCATGGGTGTCTTGGAAGCCAGTTTGGAGGCCATCTCGGCCGCCTGGAGGCCGAAAAGAGAGCCGTAAGGCAAATTCGGGAGGGACGATGTTCAAGGGACGCGCGCGGCGAGGGGGGGGGGTGCCCTGGAACACCTGCAGAAACTTCCCGGACAGCCGAAGAGAATTCTAGCACGCCCCAGCGGGCACGAGGCCCGTTGGATTGCAAAAACGAAGGATTGCCCAAAAAAACCCTTGAACGAAGGATTGCAAAAAAAACATCCTTCGTTTTTTTGCAATCCTTCGTTTTTTGCAATCCTTCGTTTTTGCAATCCTTCGAATTACTTCTTATAGTCGCTGCGCCAGCGGACCATCTGGCACGGAGGAGGCGGCGAGAGCCGGCGTCGGGGAACAGCGTGGCGAATTGCACGCGAACGAAACGGATACGGAAACATTGGCGCGGTGCCCAGCATCGAAGAAGAGTTTGCCTGGCAGAGAACCCAACCATATGCTTTTTCTTCTTGCCCCTCCTTCTCCTCCTCCTCCTCCTTTTCCTGCTCCTGCGACCGGAGGCCCGGCGTCTGAAGGCGTCTCTAGGGCTTGGTCTGCAGGAAGCCCCTAGGAAGCGCAGATCCGGAGCTCCAGTGAGGGCTCTCCGCCCCTCCAGACCCTCGACGGCCTGGTGAGTACCGCAGTTGTGGGTATCGTCTTCCGTGGAGCTCCCCCTCGGCCACGAAAAGCCGTGCCGGGTGAAGGAGGCGCAAGCGAACTGCGCCACTGGGACTTCCGGTGGTGCTCCCTATGGGTCCACGAAGCGCTGTACTGGGCGGGGGAGACAAATGCGAACTGCGCCACGGGGACCTTCGGTGGAGCTCCCTCTGGGGCCACGAAACGCTGTATTGGCGGGGGGGACCGCATGCGAACTGCGCCACTGGAGCCTTCGGTGGAGCTCCCTCTGGAGCCACGAACCGCTGTAGTGGGTGGGGGAGCCGCATGCAGACTGCGCCACTGGGACCTTCGGTGGAGCTCCCTCCGGGGCCACGAGCCGCTGTACTTGGTGGGGGAGCCGCATGCAGACTGCGCCACTGGGACCTTCGGTGGAGGTCCCTATGGGGACACGAAGCAATGTACTGGGCGGGGGAACCGCATGCGGACTGCGCCACTGGGACCTTCGGTGGAGCTCTCTATGGGGACACGAAGCGATGTACTGGGCGGGGGGACCGCATGCGAACTGTGCCACAGGGGCCTTCGGTGGAGCTCCCTCTGAGGCCACGAAACGCTGTACTGGGTGGGGAAGCCGCATGCAGACTGCGCCACTGGGACCTTCGGTGGAGCTCCCTCTGGGGCCACGAGACACATGCGGACTGCGCCACTGGGACCATCGGTGGAGCTCCCTCTGGGGCTACGAAACGTTGTACTGGGTGGGGTAGACGCGCAGGCGAACTGCGGAGGAGGGAGGAGGGGGAGGAGGAGGGGAGGAGGAGAAGAGGAGAGGAGGAGGAGCGCGGGGCGTTGTCTCTTCAAAACGAGGACCCCGCACGACAGAATGGTTGGGAACAACATCGCAACAAACATAAACTGTTTGGGCTCCGGGCGGATTTCTTGGGTCCGCGCTGGGCCCCCCCAAGGGGGGGGAGCGCTTTAGGGAGGGGGGTCCAGCGCGGATCCAAGAAATCCGCGCGGAGCGCCACAACAGTTTATATTCATGGTCGTTCTTCTGCAACATCAGCTCCTGTTAACTTCCATCACGACTCACTGTCCTCGCCGCCGCGGACGTTGTCCGTTTGAGCCGGAAGACCGCCTGCCCAACAGAGGCCGCTATCAATTTTGGACAACTTTGGTTGTTGGGCATCGTACCGATGTTTTGCGTACAGTCGGACCGAGGTATTAGATCGAGGTCGGTTTGGGGAGGGTACCCTATGTTCCCTGTGTTTGTTGGATGTTCTGGTGCACCCTGGGGAGGGTACCCTTGGATGTTCTGTGTGTTTTGGCCGGCGCAGGGTCTCGTGTTCTTGAAGGATGGGGTCGGAATAGATGGGGTCGGAGGACCGCGCCACATCGCCGATGCATCGCCGATGCATCGCCGACGCGGCTCGATGTGGAACCCGATTTGCTTCTCGTCAACGTCGCCGATGCATCGCCCACGTCGACGAGGCATCACCGGCGCATCGCCGATGCATCGCCGATGCATCGCCAATGTATCGCCGACGTATCGCCGATGTATCGGCGTTGCGGCGCGATTTCCGGACCCCATCTACTCAGACCCCATCTAGGAGGCATCGATCGGTGGCCACATGCGAACCCTTAGCCACCACCCCGCGATTTCTAAGAGGGGAGGTGGGGTTCACTTCGCTCGGGAGGTCCCGAACGAAGTGAACCCCATCTCCCCCCTCAGAAATCGTCGGGTGGCGGTGTAGGGGGTTCGCATGTGGCCTCTTACTCTGGTTCTGCTGGCCTAGGTCCGACTGTACCCATTGTTTGCGTACCCATGTCGTGCGTCCAAATAGGAGAGCGGGGGGGGAGGAGGAGGAGGGCGGTCGCGGAGAGAGGACCTGTGGGCGGGCGGAGCGCTCGTAGATCGTGGAGGTTTTCCCGCAGGTGTGTCAGCCTGGGAGTCGGGCGAAGGAGGCTGCTCGAGCTGTTACTTCACTGACGAGGAGGAGGAGGAGGAGGAGGAGGAGGAGGAGGAGGAGGAGGAGGAGGAGGAGGATGGGAAGAGAGAGGAGAGGAGGAGGATGAGAGAGGATGGGGGGAGGGGGGAAGGGAGGAGGGAGGAGGGAGAGAGGGGGGCGACGGGGAGAGGAGGAGGAGGAGGAGGGGGAGGGGAAGGAGGAGAAGGAGGAGGAGAAGGCGGAGGAGGAGGCGGAGGAGGAGGAGGGAGGGGGTGGGACGATCGAGCACCTGTCTCTCCAAGCACGCTTCCTGATCGTACCAAGCAGGCCCAGAAGCAGCATTGATGGTTCCCGAGCTTTCCGGAACTCGTTCAGAGCTTCCTGGGGCGCTTGAGGACGACTGCGGCGCACAGCACGTCCCCCGGAACCGCCAGCTCTCAGGGACTTCCGGACTTGTTCTCATCTCGTGTTGGTATTCTCGGCTCCTTCGTCTTCCTTGGGAGGGGCAGCAGCAGGAGGAGGGGGCGTGGCGGACGAGGGCCTGCGTTCGTGTCCCCGGGGGACGCCAGCAAGGATGCACCGACGCCAATGTTCGGATGCAACTCCTGGGAGGTCAAATTCTGATTCAGCCCCGGTCCGAAATCCAGCTCAATCCCGCTTCACCCCGCTTTCATCCGGCTTCATCCCGCGCATAATCCCGCGCAATCCGGCGCTCAACCCCGGTTGATCCGAGGCCCCATTCCGGCGTAAGAGCCCGGGGGTGGACAGAACCCCCAACAGTGACACGTCGATTAGTGAATTGTCCGTTTTCGGTTCTCGAGAGGGTGCCGTGGCCGTTATTTTCCAGGCTTGCGCCCGCCAGGTTTGGGCCTCAGGTCGTTCTCACTAAACCACGTTTTACTAAAGGGGGGTCTGTCCATCCCCGAAGAGCCCCCAAATGGGGCTTCTAATCCTCCTCACCCCTTCCGACGAAGACCTCCCAGCAGTTGCCTCCTACAGCCACTGCTGGCCAGGCCCCCCCCCCGGGGCCCAGCAGTCGGCGCGTGCGCCCGCTTCCCGCCTGGGCCTGGTCCCCGGAGGGCGTGTGCGCCGGCCCCCGGGCCCAGGGCTGGGCACGGCCAGGGCCGCTGCGGGCGTGCACGTCAGGAGGGGACAAAAACACAGACACAATGAATCGTCGATTCCCAGGAAAGTATAAGGAAAGATATGGGAAGTGGGGGGAAGACAAAAGCCCAGAAGATATGGGAACATAATTATGGGGAATCATTTGATTTGCTTGTATTTATTTGTGTGTCTCAGGGCCCCTTCGGTGCGGTCGGCGTGCTCCCGTCCTGCCGCAACGCGTGAGCCGACAGCCAGCATCAAGTCGGGCACGTCCCTCTACAGGAGGAGCGCTCAAGAACGGCAGAAATATGGCCTTCGGAGGAGGGAGAGGTACCCATACCTCTGCCCTTCCCAGATGGTCTGGTACCGGAAATTTTCGGTAGCGATTTCGACGCACCCCGAATTTCGGTAGCGACCGGATCTTCGTTTGAGGGCGCTGAAATAGCGGATTTCAGAACGCTCTGATACCGGTATTGGGCGCTACATTTCGGTATTTCGGTAGCGACCGATCTCTGCGGAGCACTACCGGAAATTTTCGGTAGCGGACCATCAGGGTTCCCTCGTCTTTCCCTTTTTGGGCCTCCCGGGTAGCCCTCGTCGGCACCGCTGGATATTTGCCTCGAAGTCCAGGTCAGGACGCCCTCGGGGCGAGGTCCGGGGAGTAATTAGCGGTGTGGGTACCTTTTGATCTCCCCAGGTCTGGGGACGGTTTCCTATTTTCCTCATGTGTTTCGACTGCGCTCGAGTGTGTCTTGACTCAAAGCGTGAATTACCTACCCCGCTTTCGCTTCCAGGCAAAACCAAGTCATACCATACGCCTCCTCGTCAAGTGGCCTGACCAGTACATGCCGTAGTTTGGCATCGCTTTGTATCTCTTGGAAGCGAGGGTGGTCAAAAGCGAGGTAGGTTTGTTTGCCCCCCATTGACAATCTTTCATTTCTCTTCCGAAATCCGCGCCTGTGGGAGGACATGCCCGACCTAGAGCTAGCACTCCTGCCTGCACGACCCCCCCCATGTCTCGGGGTGGCATTGGGGGGGGGGGCGCCACGGGTGTGTATCGTCGCATGGGGGTCCCCCCGCTCCAACGGGCGCCCCCCCCCCCCCCCGCGTGGCCCGAGGACTCGCACCCATACCTGACAGCGCCTTCGTGGCCTTGTCCTTCCCCATCTACCCTCCCTGGTAGGTTTGTACGTTGCAACTTCGGGGGACCTCGCCTGTCCCCCAAAACCGGTTTCCTTCCTTGTGCCCGACGCGGGCTCGATGCGGACTCGGCGCGGAGTTGGCGTGAGTTCGGCGCGGACTCGACACGGGTTCGACACGGATCCGACGAGTTCGACGTGGATTCGGCGCGGATCCGGCGCGCATGGGGCCGCGGCGGGAGGTCAGGTCAGGCCAGCGCGGGCGTTTGGCATCGCTCGGACGTGTGCACTTTTTCTCGGCGACGGCCACCGAGCAGCACCCTTGACCATCGAGCCAAAAAAGCACGCACGAAACCGACAAATGCACGGGGAATGGACGTCCGAGCGATGGCAAGGGCGGTGCCCACGTCAGGTCAGCGCGGGCGGCGCTCTCTCCTCCGCAGATGCCCCCGCCGCGAGGAGCAGCTCATCCGCACGGTGGAGCGTCGGCAGTCCAGCGAGGGCGGGTGCAGCCGCAAGATGACGGTGGTGGCCCGGGCCCTGCGGAAGGTGCAGGGGCTGCGGTCCTCGCGCAGCAAGGAGTTTTATATGAAGGCCTCGCTGTGTGCCCTCAGCGGGTGCGAGCTCAGTCGGGACGCTTCGCGCTCGCTCGCCCGACGCACCTGGAGGCGAGCCCTCGGGGGGGGAGTGCCCCGACCTTCCAGAGTGCTAAACATTAGCACTCCAGACCTAGAAACCTACTCCAGATTTCGTAATAAAAGGGAGGGGGTCTCATTTCGGGGGGGGTCTCTTCCAGGCTATCTTGGAGGGCCTGGGGTGGTCTGGGGACGATGTTTTGGAGGGTTCTCCCACGAGGGGGGGTCTGAAATGGCTTGTCTTGGAGGGTCCAGACCCCCTCTCTTTTATTACGAAATCTGGAGTATCTGGACTGCCTCAAACCTCGACAGGAATGAGGACGTCGATGCCCCGGTGGTATTTTTTGGCCCTCCTGGAAGGTCAGGGTGGGAGGGGCAGGCCTCGGAGGGCGCGCAACAGGGGGGGGCGACGCGGGGGGGGGGGGGGGGCAGCGAGGGTTGCAGAAAGGGCCCCGGTGGGGGCCCCATGCAGGGGCCCTCTCGGGGCCAAGAGGGGGCCTCAGATTGGACCCGAGAAGGGCCTCTTCCTTCCCTCCCCCCAATTTCTCGCCCCCCCCCCAGCGATTCGCGCCCCAGGGGCCTTCTCAGAAGGCGGCGAGACTCCTCGGGAGCCCTCGCGCCTTCTGAGAAGCCGTGCGAGCCTTCTCCGAAGCCACCTGCGGCATTTTCATAGGTTTCTGCTGACCCTGCTTGGTCCCCGGGAGGCTTCTTGTCCCCAAGGCTGGATCTGCATCACGCGGCGTCTGTCAGGAATCAGGAGGGGAACAAAAACCCACAGACACAATAAATCGACGATTCCCAGGAAAAGATGGGAGAACATGGCAAGCGGGGGGGCAGACGAGATCCAGAAAATATGAAAAGATATTTGGAGTCCTGGGACTTCTGTGTGTATTTATTTAATCGCCTCGTTCATTCCGCCGGCCCTGGAGCGCTATTTGGGGCCTCTTGGGGCCGTCTTGGGGACTTCTTGGGGGCTTCTTGGGAGCGTCTTGGGGCTCCTTGGCGGCGTATTGGGCTCCTGGGGCCTCTTGGGGGGCTCTTGGGGGCCCCTTGGGGCGGGAGGGGGGGTAGTCGTTGCCCCCCCCCCCCTCGGAGACCACGATCCTCGTGAGGGGTGGCGAAAAATAGCCTCCCCCCTGGGGATCGCCCGGGGATCGGCCGGGGCACTTTTCGTCCGGGGCCCCCCAGGGGGCCACCCCGCGCGCGCGAACTAGAAATGTTGTTAAGTAGTTGCCCGAGATCTTGGCACGCCTCTGGCCCGTTGGGCCGGCGAGTTCGTGTGCCCCTGGGCCCCTTCACAGAGAGCGCACCCCCGGACAGACCTCGGGGCCCCACTCCCGAGGTCGGGGGCCCTTCGGGCGGGGCCGGGACGGGGACAGATCTCGGGCTGCCCCAAGATCAGGAGAGAGAGAAACACACAGACACAATTAATCGTCGGCTCCCCAGAAAATATGGGAAAATATGGGAAGTGGGGGGGGAGACAAAAACCCAGAAGATATAGGAAAATCTAAGGGGATCCTTGTTATTTGTGTGTATTTATTTGTGTGTCCCAGGGCCCCTTCACAAAAGGGGGCCCAGCGGCAAGAGGGTGGTGCAATAGATCTGGTGCAGCAGACCTGTGGGATTGCAACACACGTGAAGCGTGCCATACATTCCGGGGCGCAAATGTATCGCTGGATTTCCGTCGCGTGCACTGCAATACTTGCAACACAACGCAATACAATTCTCCAGTGCAATACAATTGCCCCAAATCTACTGCACCACCCCCTTTCAGTTCGACCCCATTTGGTTGTTCCAAAAGATCGTTCCAGAGCTTTCTGGAGCGCTATGATTGAGTCGGGAATGACCCTCTACAGGAGGAATGGTCAAACATACTCAAACAATTGCCTCGGAACGATTTCTCTATTGTTTGTTTGCATATGTTTGAGTTTGATTTGGCTATGTTTCGCTTTTCTTCCAAAATCCGCCTGTAGGAGGACATGCCCGACCTGACGCTATGAGAAGGCCGCGGCGCCCGATGTAGCGTCGATCTCAGAGATTCCCGATGCATCCATGGCCGACTTTGACCCTTGTCCTGGCGTCTCGGGGGCAACGACGAAGGGGGGACAGGCACAGCGGGAGACGCCTCGACCCCCCGTCGCCCCTGGATCGTCGATAGCGGCCCGATAGCCCCAACCTGCTCGGGAACGCTCGGCTTCACGACAGCCGACCCGCATCAGAAGGGCGCATGATCACGACGCAAGGGCCTCGGAGGCCCATGTGAACGTTTTTCGAACGAGGTTGGCCAGCGAGAATCGCGAAGGACGGGCCGAAGGGGCAAGGATGCAAAGGTACCCTTGGGAAGGTTGCCCATCCTTATGACGCCCATCGCCGATCCATCGGCGATGCATCGCTGATTCCAGGTCGACGTTGCCCCCCCCACTGCCAGTCCCCCTCCGATCGCTGCCTCTCAGCTTCGTTTTGTCCCAGGCCTCCTCAGGCCTGCCGGCCCTCGACAGCCTGCTCGCGCCGTCGATGCCCGCCTTCTTTTCCCCCGCTGCCCGCGGGCGGGAGACAGATCCGCATCCACGGTCTCGCGGGCCGGGCTTCTGGGCCGCGACCCGATGTCGGGTGGGTGGTAATGCTGGGGTGGAGAACAGGGCCCCAAAGGGGCCGTTTGGGGCCCCTTTTGGAGCCAACTGGTGTCCAAAAGGGGGCCCAAAGGGCTTGTTTTGGGCCTTTGCCTTCACCCCCCATTTGGGTCACCCCCCCTTCCCGCCCGCCCGAGCATGGGCCCAGGGTGGTTTTCGCGGATGCCCCACGAGGAACGTATCCCTGCGACCGCGTCACCGATTGGGTTGCACCCCAGGATCCAGACCGCGATGTCGCGGATAGAGTATATTCGGCATCTCTTTGTTTACCCGCAAACATCTCACACGCCTCAGCACCCACGGCAATACTGGCGAAGAGCCCAAAACTACCTAGACGATCATTCAGAGGTCCGCGCGGGTTTCTGGTGTCAGCGATGGGCCCACCGGCGCCGCCCCCAGCGCGCTTCGGACGCCAAGCAAGGGGAGTCGGAGGTCCGCGCGAACCTTAGAAAGTTGTAGTGATTTTCATGTTTTTGGGGGTTCTTCTACCATGGCAGGCGGGGGTTGGCGTATTTGGCTCATTGTATGTTTGTTGAGCTGGTTCAGATTTTCACTGACGGCAGTTGTCCTCACGCTGCTGGCCCTCCTGGCGGCTCTGCTGCTCAAGGCCCCCTTCTTTTACAGGCGAGGCGGCAACCGACGTGGCAGCGAAGGTGGCTGCGAGGCCGTCAATAGTATCATAGATGAGATAGAAAAGAATATACATCAGAGTGGCCACTCTCTGAGTTGGTGGTCCTTTGGACAGCGAGAGTCCCAACAGCGAATGAGCAAGATCGTGAACCTCCTCGTCGACAGTGAAGCTGACATCCTCAATAAGCTCATAGAGAGGATGTCCGAAACTGGCTTGGTGCACGACCTTGTGACCTTCTTCCAGCACGATGCCGAGCTCTTGAACATGCTGGGCGATCGCGCGATTGACGGTGACCTTTCTATTGAGGCGAGATGGAGGCTATTGCACACCCTGATGTCCACAGGGATTTCTTCCTGCAAGGGCGCGGAGAAGGCCGTGGAGAGCTTGCTCGTCAGCGTTGAGGGTGATGAGCTGTCCGAGCTGAAGTCCAAGCAGGACGCTGGGAGGTCCCAGAGCACGCACGTCCCAAATCCGAGGCAAACTGGCGGAGGGGGGAGGGTCATGGTGCGGGGCAAGGCTGTTCTCCTTGCGATCGATGCGACAATGCGATTTCTGAGCGCGTCCTCGTACGATTTGGTTCCGCGCCTCCACAATCCGATCCACTCAAGCGATGAATTCCACATACGAATCGAACAGGGCAGCATCGCTAGTATTCATGTTCGTTCGCGTAATTTGTATACGACACAGCCAGCTCGATAGGAAAGGTCATTCAATTCATGTTGCTGGTACTTAGTCGCTTTCTGAGAACTGGGCGCGACGCTGGAGCACATTCGCGACTCTGAAACGGAACTGCCTTTGTCAGCGCATGTGTTGGATGTTCCAAGCTACATGTCCATGAGCATAACGATGCACAGACGAGAACTCAATACTCAGAAGGAGCTGCACTCAACTCCTGTATATGTTGCAATCCCTGGTCATGCGCGACCGGAATTGTCCAGCAGCGAAAGACAAATACCAGTAGCGACCAGTGTAGTGACAAGTTCGGTAACGGTCGCGACCAGGAACGCGCGAGGCGGCCGAGGACGAGGAGAAGGATGAGGCAGGCAATGAAGAGGAGGAGGAACAGGATGATGGAGGAAACGGGAGGAAAGGGCGAGTGAGGAGAATATTTCCCCTCGCCTCTGTCCGTTTCTCTCTCTCTCTCTCTCTCTCTTTCTCCCTTCTCTTTCTCCCTTTCTCTCTCTCTCTCTTTCTCTCTCTCTCTCTCTCTTTCTCTGATATATACACCTCCCTCTCTCTCTCTCTCCCTCGCTCTCTCTCTCTCTCTCTCTCCCCATCTCTCTCTCTCTCTCTCTCTCCCTCTCTCTATATCTCTATATATATATATATACATCTGAGTGTGGGGTTGTCCGCCACCGTGCCTGCATGTAATGAGCGCTCTACAATGCTTGTCTGTCGTCTTGGAGGTGTTCGGAGTTTTCTGGGGCCGCCCCTTTGCATCGCGCGCATCCCTCTGAGACCGCCTCCCCCGAAATTGCTCCCCTTCGACCTTCTCAGCCTGCACCAAAAGGGCTTCAAAGACAGCCAAGACGATACACACACAAACAGTTCAAGATGGCACAAGACGGCTCAAGGCGCTCTCAAGGCAGCCTCAAGACGGCCCAAGAGGCCCCCAAGACGGCCCAAGAGGGTTCCGTGAGGTCCCCCAGGAGAGCCCGAGGAGACACACGTCATTCATGTTCCTGAGGTTTCTGAAGGGGCCGTGAGGTGCCCGCCCGTTTGGGTGTCCAAACTTCCAAGGACGGTTCGAGGAGCCTCCAAGATCACTCCAAGACAGCGCATGGGGCCCCCGAGAGGGCCCCGAGAGCGCGCCCAGGAGGACCCCCGAGAGAGCGCGCCCGAGGTCCCTAATTAAGGCAGCCGGCCCCACGGCGCTCCCGGAGAGCACCACACAGCGGCCCGGAGATGCCCCCCGGGACGGGCCCGAAGGGGCCAGACGGGCCTCGAGCCCCCCGCAGACGGCCCAGGAGGCCACAAGATGCCGCCGCGCGGCCCCGGGAGATGCCCCCTCGGGAGGCTCCCAGGAGCCCCCATCGGGAGGCTCCCAGGGAGGCTCCCAGGATTCTCGCCAGGAGGGTCCCGAGAGAAACCTGTTCCTCCTCGCCCTCAGTTTTTGATCCTCCTCCTCCTCCGCCTCCTCCTTCCTCCTCTTCCTCCTCCTCCTCCTCCTCCTCCTCCTCCTTCTCCTCCTCCTCCCCCTCCAGCGCGCGGACGAAGGCGATGTCGGTACCACGACCCTCCCCAGTTCAGACCATTCGCTGACCTGTCGCGGGGCGTCAACTCGACCTCTTTCCTACCGCGCGGACGAAGACGAGGTCGAGTTCACGACCCGTCCCAAGTCAGACCACTTGACGGACTTGCGCTGTTCCTAGACTCAGCATCCTTACTGTTGCACGTTTGCACAGGTGCGGTGGCGGGGCTTGCCGAAGCCAGCTGGATTTCTGTTGTTGCCGTTGATGCTGATATGTGTTCTTGTTTGTTTGTTTGTTTAGTTTCATATCCGGTTTGGTGGATCCTGTTTTGTTGTTGCTGTTCAGTTGTGGGATTGTCCCACTGTTGCTGTTTTCCGTGGAGGGGGAAAGGATCCGTGGAGAGGGAAGGTATCGAAGGGATACTACACGCCACCACCATCCTCGCCGAGGTCGTCGCCATCATCGCCACCGTCATCATACTTATAGTCACCATGGCCTTCATCATCAGCCGCACCATCATCATCACCACCATCAGCATCATCATCACCACCATGAGCATCATCATCATCACCATCAGCATCATCCCCCTTCTTCCAATCATCACCTCTCTCTGTGTCCTCCTTCGCATCCTCGTCCTGCTCCTTCTGAACCAACTCTGGGCATGCTTTGCGTCTGGAGTTGGTTCAGGCCCTGTGCCTTACACGCGCTGTCCTGGGCCTCGTTGTCGTCCTCGTCCTCGTGCGGAGGAAGGCCCACCATCACCACCATGACAATAATTATCACCATCCTACTTACAATAGTAACGCCATACTAAACATCAACATCGTAATTAGCACCGCCAAGAGCAACCAATCAGACAACGGATCTGACATCAGAACTGACGCTACCGAGGGTTAGCGGTCGCGACCAGCAACCATTACTGGCCCATCGCCTGCATCGCTACCGAAAGCACAGTAGAGCATGATCTGGGATGTGAAAGCCTTCGAACTCTAGACGCGAGAGTCAATATTTGAAGACGGACGGCTCTGCCTCTCTGAGTTGTTGGAGGCCATGACGTTTCGAAGTGCTTCAAGCGGACCCATGTTGAGAAACAGCGAACTTATGCTACATCCGTGCAGCTGGTCGGAATTTCAAGATGACATGTGAGGACGTGTCAAGCAACCTTCGGTTTTGAACAAGAAACGGCTTTTCAGCCAGGTAGTTGCGTGATCCAAGGCGGACGCGCACTGCGATACGACGACAACCAATGTTGAGGCGGGGCGGTCTCACATCCGTGCAACAGTTGTTCAATTCGAACGAGATTGCGTGCAGCGCCGATTCTAGAGGCATATCGTGGACACGAACCGCCATCCGTCTGTGTAGCCGTAGGAACCTTAAAGTTTCAGGGCCGAGAGTCAGGTGGAGGTGTCAGGTGAAATGCCTTGATCGTCCGTCTCGTGGTGCGTCGAGATCGACATAGTGCAATGAAAGAGGGAGAATGAGGAGGAATCAGAAGACCCGAGTGAAGCCAGAATGCATCACTGAGGTTACAATGTACCATTCCGTGCCCAGTCTCTTCAGAAGTTGTTCCACCGTTTTTGTCTTCATTGCGGTGAATTGTCATATGTAAAAACGGGCGCCCCATTGGCCTTCATGCAGGCGGGAACACCTTTACACTATGGTCCATCCTCCCCCTTCTAGCCAGCCGGAGCCCCGCGTTCAACGGAACCCTTCCGTGCCGTCGTTCTGGGAAACATGCATGGGTCGCCAAGACGAGATCACCGAGCACGCTTCCAAAACGTCGCCGTGTGCTGTCGACCCCCCCCCCCTGTCGGGGAAACGTAAGACTCGAGTAAGGCGGAACTCGGGTTTGCCGACGTTTTTTGACGAGTGGTTCCTGGATTTAAAACGGTCCAGTTTTTGTGGGATGTTTGCAGCGGGAGTTCACGTCGAATTTCAGATTGCGTCTCGCCATTTTGTTCATGATAGCCCCGTGAGGTCAACCCGAGTTCCCCGTGCCTGAGTCTTACGTCTCCCCGACCCTCAAGCAGTGGCGCAGCGTCTTGGCGTGCCTATAGGCCTACCAAACAATGTTCTAAGAACCTTGTGTGGTTTCCACGAAATGTTCTCAGAACAGTTCTGGCTGCGACTGTCTTGGTTTAACGCATCGCTTCTGTGTTCTAAGAGCACTGCTTTGGTTCTTGGAACACTGTTGGGTTCTACGGACATGGCGTGGTAGGCCTATCGGAATGCCGGGACGGCCGGCCCCCGCTCGAGACCTTGGGCAGGACAGCTCTGGAGACCGGCACTCGATGCACAAGCTCATCTTTGAGGACATCGCCCGCGGTCGGTTGGCGCTCCTCCACCGGGGGCCTTTGGCGCGTCCCCTGGAGGAGCGGCGGCGGGCCAGGGGGGGCGGGTCCCTCCTCCCCTGGACTCGGGGATCGACTGCAGAATCGGCCTGCCCCGGGAGTGGTTCTCCCGCCGAGTCTGCCAGAGAAATACGCAGGATGCTCTCCGAGATCTATGGGGCATTCTGCGTACTTGTCAGGGGCAACGATCGGGGGGGAATGGGCATATGGAGGGGGGTGCCACGACCCCCAATCGCCCATGGATCGCAGATAGGGGCCCGATAGCCCCAACCTGCCCAGGAAGGTGCGGGTTCACCAACTCAAGCCTATGTATCGATCTATCGGCGATGTATTGTCCGTTTCAGGTCGATGTTTCCCCCCCTATGCTTATCCCCCCCTACCTCACCACCCACCAAACCACCCCAACCCAACCCGAAGCCCTCAATTTGCCCTCCATTTCTAGTGGGGGGGGGGGTCAGGGAACGCTGAAAAAACACATGGAACCCGTACCCCCCCCCAACCCGAAATTCGAGTCGAATTCGGGTCTTCGGGTTGGGTTGGGGTGGTCTGGTAGGTAGTCACTACCGTTGCCCCTCGTCTGCGTACCTGTCGTGGATCAGTGCCGGGTCAGATCCATCTCGGGGCAGATCACTTCTGTAGCCGATCCCCTAGTCGATCACCGCCCCCCCCCGCGGGCGCGATCCGCCGATCCAGGTGGTTTTTCTTTGGGGGTAGCTTTGAGCTGGGCCTGTCCATCCACAGGAGGAATATTCAAAAGTAGTCCAAACATAGGACGAAAATAATTGTCCTTTTGACCATTTGTGAACATTTCTTACGACTCTCAATTTTCTCTGGAAATCAGGGATGGGAGGAGAGAAAGGAGCAGTGTGGAGTGAAGGACGCGGAGTGCTGTCCTCCAAACGAGGGCCCAGTACCACAGGATGATTTGGTAGCAAATCATGGGAGCCTGGTGTACCCTCTTAATTCCGTCTTTCGCGTCGATTTGCCTTTGGGAGTCAATGAGATAGTGCCGACTGAGCGCCCGTGAGCGTCGATTAGCGTCGACTTAGCGTCGGCTAGCGTCGAATAGCGTCGATTTTCAAGGGCCGTCAAGATGGTACTGGAGGCTCCCACGAGTTTCCACCGAATGATGTTTGGGACACGGAGGAAGGAGGAGTTTGGAGGAGTTTGGAGTGAAGACTGCGAGGCGCTGTCTCGTCAAAACGAGGAGCCAACACCACAGAATGGTCGGGACAAACAACGGGGTCGATTGCGCGGACATGGTGATCGTTTTTTCCCTACCTAGGCTCTGCCTAGAGGGTTCTTACTCTCTTAGCTTAAAGGGGCCGGGCAGTGTAACACACCCCGGGCGGTTCCCCCGGTCCCCGCCCCGCGGTTCCCCCAGTCCCCTGGGAGCTTTAGCCTTAGCTTTAGTTTTAGCTTAGCTTTAGCTTTAGCTTTAGCTTTAGCTTAGCTTTAGCTTAGCTTTAGCTTGGTGTTAGCTTAGATTTTGCTTAGCTTTAGCTTAGCTTTAGCTTAGCTTTAGCTTACCTTCAGCTTTAGTGTTAGCTTAGCTTTAGCTTAGATTTAGCTTAGCGTCAGCTTAGTGTTAGCTTAGCTTTAGCTTAGCTGTAGCTTAGCTTTAGCTTAGCTTTAGCTTCACTTTAGCGTAGTTTTAGCTTAGCTTTAGCTTAGCTTTAGCTCCGCTTTAGCTCAGCTTTAGCTTAGCTTTAGCTTAGCTTAGCTTTAGCTTAGCTTTAGCTTAGCTTCAGCTTAGCTTCAGCTTAGCGTTAGTTTAGCCTTAGCTTAGCTTTAGCTTTAGCTTAGCTTTAGCTTTAGCTTTAGCTTTAGCTTAGCTTTAGCTTAGCTTTAGCTTAGTGTTAGCTTAGCTTTAGCTTAGCTTTAGCTTAGCTAGCTAGCTTAGCTTAGCTTAGCTTTAGCTTAGCTTTAGCTTAGCTTAGCTTTAGCTTAGCTTAGCTTTAGCTTAGCTTTAGCTTAGCTTTAGCTTCTTTAGCTTAGCTAGCTTAGCTTTAGCTTTAGCTTAGCTTTAGCTTAGCTTTAGCTTAGCTTTTAGCTTAGCTTTAGCTTAGCTTTAGCTAGCTTCAGCTTAGCTTTAGCTTAGCTTTAGCTTAGCTAGCTAGCTTAGCTTAGCTTTAGCTTAGCTTTAGCTTAGCTAGCTTAGCTTAGCTTAGCTAGCTTAGCTTTAGCTTAGCTTTAGCTTAGCTTTAGCTTAGCTTTAGCTTAGCTTTAGCTTAGCTTTAGCTTAGCTTTAGCTTAGCTTTAGCTTAGCTTCAGCTTAGCTTTAGCTTAGCTTGCGCTTAGCTTCAGCTTAGCTTTCGCTTAGCTTTAGCTTAGCTTCAACTTAGCTTTATCTTAGCTTTAGACTTAGCTTTAGCTTAGCTTTAGCTTAGCTTTAGCTTAGCTTTAGCTTAGCTTTAGCTTAGCTTTAGCTTAGCTTTAGCTTAGCTTTAGCTTAGCTTCAGCTTAGCTTTAGCTTAGCTTTAGCTTAGCTTAGCTTTAGCTTAGCTTTAGCTTAGCTTTAGCTTAGCTTTAGCTTAGCTTTAGCTTAGCTTTAGCTTAGCTTTAGCTTAGCTTTAGCTTAGCTTTAGCTTAGCTTTAGCTTAGCTTTAGCTTAGCTTTAGCTTAGCTTTAGCTTAGCTTTAGCTTAGCTTTAGCTTAGCTGTAGCTTAGCTTTAGCTTAGCTTTAGCTTAGCTTTAGCTTAGCTTTTCTGTTACTACTAATTCTGCTTTCCTAGGTAGGGTCGCACTGGGATAATTTATTCATTGTTTTGCCGATCGGCTTCCCCCCCTCGTGGAGTAGATCTTGGCTGTTTTTAGCGCCTGTTTCGAATAGGTGGAGTCTCCCCCATAGGACGCACGGTTCCGATCAGTCGCATTAAGCAGAGGTTCGGAGCCAGACCCCCCCCCCTTCCCCCCTCCCCCCTTCCGCCCAACGTCGAAACGCCAAGGCGCACGCTTCTCACGTAAGCTTCTCGCGTAGGGTCGCGCCGGAGCGCCAGCTTCTCCGCTGTGGCGTGCCATGCTGGCGGCCTGCGTGACCACCGCGTACTGTGGGTGGGAAAGAAATCGAGGGTTGGGCGACTAACCTTCGACGGAGCTTGCCAACCCCCCCACCCTCCTCCACCTCCTCTCCTTCTCCTCCTCCTGCACCTCCTCCTCCCCTCCTCCTCCTCATCCCTTCCTCCTCCTCCTCCTCCTCCTCCTCCTGCTCCTCCTCCTCCTCCTCCAACCCCCCCTCCACTCGTTCCGACAGCACGTGCCCAACCCCCCCAGCGGATCCAAGGGGGAGGCGATGATTGCCTCATCCATAGTAAGGTTGACAGGCCATCTCGCGTAAGGCCTGATCATTTTCGTATCTCAGCTGCTTGTGCCTTGGCCTCTGGAGTTATGATGCTCCAACCTATCTTAAGCCTCGACCACCAGATAGAACTTCGAGCACCAGGAAAGTACCGAAACTGGAGTGTGTTCGTGTGTCGGGCCCTGGGAGGCGATACTCGTTCGACGCTGTTTCGATGCCTTTCTGGGTGCTCGAGTTTATTTCTCGGATGTGGTCCTTAAGTACGATGAGCGCAACATACCTCTGGAGGGTCGCTTTGTTGTCGGTGCTGGCCCCCCCCCCGGCGCTCCTTGGGATGGCCAACCGACCGCGGCACATCAAAGACGAGAAGATCCAGCTAGGCCGCCGCTGTCCTCTTCTCTCCTCGCGCCGCCAGTCTTCCCCTCTCATCCTTGGTCGAAGCTCGAGGATCAGGGATCGAGGCTTCCTGGCGCTCTCGGGCCTCCAGGGACCTCCAAGGGGGCTCTGGAGGGGACAGTTGGATGCCTCGGGACCGGAGGACCCGTGCACCCAACGCCTCGACAAAACCAGCAGCGCTGGGTTTCCTCCCCCATCCTCGGCGTCCAGGGGGAGCTTTCGGGCCCTGTGGCTGTCAAGCAGAGGCCCAGGATGAACCACAGCTCCCCAGGGAGGGCGAGAGCTCTGGAGCCCGCGGGTGGAGCACGAGATGCACCGGTGCTCTCCGTCGTGGCCCCCCCCCTCACGCCCTCCCCCCTCCCACCTCACGGGAGCGCCGGGCCTCCCCCCCTCCTCCTCCTCCTCCTCCTCCTCCTCCTCCTCCTCCTCCTCCTCCTCCTCCTCCTCCTCCTCCTCCTCCTTCGGGGGTGGACAGAGCCCCCACCCTGGCACGCCGATGGGTGCATTGTGCGTTGTTGTCGGTTCTCGAGGTGGCGCCGCGGCCGTCGTTTCCCCGGCTTGCGCCTGCCAGGTTTTTGGGCCCGAGGTCGTCTTCACGAAGCCACGTTTTGCTGAAGGGGGTTCTGCCCATCCCCGAGCATGGGCCTTCCGCCCCACACCTCAGGAGGGGGGGCGGGAGGGGCAAAAACCCTCCACGTCCGCCCCCCCCCCTTTCCCAGGTGCTGCCAGAAGTGCCCCTGTCCGAAGGCGTCCCCAGGATCTCGCACGCGGCCCAGGGGGGCCCGAGGGGCCCCGAGACGACACGACGAGCTGGGGGCACCTGCGGTCGGCGGTGGACAGACCTCCTACCCTGACACGTCGATCAGCGAATTGGCCGTTTTCAGTTCGCGAGAGGGCGTCGCGGCCGTCATTTTGCGGGTCCAGGTCCGTCGGTTTCGGTCCTAGGCCGTGTTCACCAAAGGGAGGTTTGTCCTCCGCCGATTCGGCAACCCCCGACCCCTTACCTCCACGGCAGCTGCAGAGGCTGCCTTGGAGCTCAGAGAGGCGCCCGAAGACGACCAGGGGCGCCCCCCCTCTGGCGCTCTGGTGTCCTGGGCCCCGCGCCCTGCTCCGAGCGCTGATGGGTGACCAGATTGAGCGACGCAGAGAGACCCACCGGCAGAACATCTGTCCACAGCCACCGCTTCGGAGTCGTGCCCTGGGAGCTCGAGGAGCACGGCCCAGCAGCAGGGCACCAACGGGTGCGTCCCTGCCGAGCGTCGCGCGCCGGCTGCCCGCGCAGAGTGCCGCGCGCAGGCGCCCGCGTTTCCCACCGAAGCATCGCGCTGCGCTGGGGGCCCGCGCGAGCCGCGGCGCCGGGTCGCCACGCCCCCTCGCGCGGGGCCCGTGTCTGCGCTGCGCCCTCGGATGATGCCCGTCCGAGGAGGGCAGGGTGAGCCAAGGGTGACGTTTTTGCCTTCTTCGCCTCCGATGGGGCCTCCTCGTCGCCACGGCTGGACGCAGCGTGAAAAATCGGTGCGTTTGGACCCCGGGAGGGGTCCGGGGAGCGATTTTGAGCCGATTTGGCCACCGTTGTCTCACGGCCGTTATCTCACGTTGCCCTCCTTCCGAGCCCGGCAGCTTCGGGGGGCTTCGTCTGTCCCCCAAGCTCGGTGTCTCCTCTCGGTGCCCGGCGTGGGCTCGATGCGAGTTCGACGCGGAGGTCGCAGGGGTTTTCGGCACGGGTGCGGCACGGCTTCGAAGGGGCCGGCACGGACTCGTCGACGCGGGCTCGACACGGAGGGCTGGCGCGACGGGAGGGACGATGCCCCCCGAAGCTGCAACAGCACAGCTGGCGCCTCGGCGCCCTGCATCGCGGACAAAAAGCACAGCGGCATCCGCGACCTTGCGGGCGGGGCCCCTGGGCCGCGATCCCGCGGCTACGGGGCGTGGTTCGTGGATGCCGCGCGCGGAAGTCCCCGTGCGACCGCGCATCCGCTAGATAGCGCCCCGGAATGCAGACCGCGATTGCGCGGCTACGAATAAGTTCGCCGCTCGTGACTCTACCCTTGCATCCTTACCTTAACGGAAGGCTCCACAGGTATTTTCTCTGGTCATCGAGAACAAAAAGAACCCCTAACCCTAAGATCACGATGAAGACGTGGCCTCGCTCAGGTCCCCGTCTTCGCACCAGGGATGATAAGGATGGGCAGTTTGGTCCGATACATCTGCAGAAAAGACCCCTTACCCTTGTTGTTTACGGTCCTCCCAACTTAGGTTCCCTCGCAAAGGACCAGGGGTACTTTTATTGCTGATCATCTGGGGCCCAGATTTTGGTGGGCACCAAGTAATTATCTCGGCTATCAGTCTGGCCACAGGGCCGCGTGCACCGAGACTTGGGCTCGGAAGCGGGCCTGAGAAGGCCCAGTGGTGGTCGGTACGCACTTTGCCTCCCCAGACTTCGACGGATTGACCTTTTCACGGGCAACGTTAGGGGGGAGATGCTCAGGGGGGGACGTTTCGGGTTCGAGGGTGAAGGTCTTCGGGCGTTTTCGTTGGTTCTGGGCGGCTCTCCAGCCTCGGGGGGCTCTTCATCAGCTGCGCCTCGCCGCGAGGCGTTCGGGGGTGCTCGCATTGTCCAGAACTTGCTGCCAGAGAGCCGAGCTATGGCCCGAAAACCACGGGACAGCGTGAGGGGGAGATAGGCTCAGGGAGGGATGCATCGCCCCCGAGTCGCCCGTTCATCGCCGATACGGGCGCGATAGCCCACCCGGCCCAGGAACGATTGGTTTCGCTGTCGGCGCGTCCTTCCGCGGATCTATCGGTGATGTGTCACCGTTTCCAGGTCGATGTTCCCCCTCCCCTGGGCCAGTCCCCCCCCGACCGTTCCCCTTCAAGACGTGGGCGGTGTCGGTACGCACTCTGCCCCCCCCCCCCCGACCTCCGACGGACTGCTGTGTTCCATCCGCGGGCCCCAGAGGCCGGGAGCAGTCTGAGATGGCCCTGCGGGGCCCGAAGGCGGCCCCGGTGATCGGGGGCGGCAAAGAGGGGGGCGATAACCAGGGGGGTGGATATCATGGCGTGGGCCATGATATTTCCCCAGATTTCACGGCGCCTCTTCTTATTTCATTACGTCCCCGGCCCCCCCGCTGGGCCGCGCACATGCCACCGGTCATGATTTGCGCCCCGCCCCTCTTGGACACCCCCCTCTTGGCCGCTCCCGAGGTGAACAGAAGTGAGCGAACAAGCATCGGATTACAGAAATCAGTCCCTCTGAGGTCTGGGTACATCTGCCGCCGGGTCGGCGCGCGTGCGTCAGGCCCGCCCGCCGCGCCTGCGAGGCGTACACCTCATCCTCCCACAGCTTGGTGCCCCGACCACCTCTCACGAAGCTAATTTGATCTGCTCCCCTGGGAGGGAAGCTCGCCTCCGTTCTCCCTGTCTCTCCCCGTCCCCCGCGGCCCCCTCTCCTTCTTCCGCGCCGCTTCTGGTGCGGAGTGCGCGCCTCTCCGTCGTCGCCTCTTCGACCGTGGCCCCACCGCCGCGGACCAGCCACAAGGCTTCCCCCGCCTCCTCCTCGCGGCTTGACCCCCTGGCCAGGCCTGCTGAACCATATCCTGGTCCAGGGCGCGGACCAGGTCGCCCGCCGCTCCCTGAACGCCTCCGGGCACTTCCGGGAGCTCGTGCGGGTGGCGAGGAGCAGGGGCTGGAGGCGCCGGGCAGCCTCACAATCGGCACCAGGAGGCGCACACTGGAGGAGGTCCGTGTGCTCGTCGTTCCCCCAGGGGAGGTGGAGCGAGGGTCGAGGAGCAGGGCGGATGGACGAGGATGGACGGTGTGACCCAGACCCCCATGCGGCGCGGCGCGAGGGGGGACACACGACGGCGGGTCTCTGACACGTTTCGGCCCGCGGGGTCTCTGACCGGGCCCCGGGGCCGCCAAGAGCGCCTCGGGGGGAAGTCCCCGTCCGGGGGAAGGGGTCAGGGCCTGGGGCCTTTGGCCGCACCGTCCCCGTTCCCGTCTGGTCTGAGCTCGGCCTCGGGCTCGAATCCAAGCGCGGTGCTGCACGGTACCCTGCACCCCAGCAGCTGCCTGCCAGGGGCCCACGCTTGTAAAAAGCTCAGAGCCCTGAATGATGGGCCTGGTTTCCACCACCACCATAATTTTGAGGGGGGAAGGAGGTGGAGGACGAGGAGGAGGAGAACGAAGAGGAGGAGGAGGAGGAGGAGGAGGAGGAGGAGGAGGAGCAGGAGCAGGAGGAGGAGGGGGAGGGGGAGGAGGAGGAGGGGGAGGAGGAGGAGGAGGAGGAGGAGGTGGAGGTGGAGGTGGAGGAGGAGGAGGAGGAGGAGGAGGAGGAGGAGGACCCCCTCCCCCTCCAACTTCTGGTGGTGGCGGTGGTGGAAAGCAGGCCCATCACTGGAGAAGCCAGCGCATCGCAGACCTGAACTCTGAGCCTTCCAGCAGGGAGAGACACGCCGCAGGGAGAGTGTGCCTGCCCACGGCTGCAGGGGTCTCGGGCGCACCGCGTCGGGGGCGGCGTCGTGCGGGGGGAGCCGTTTGTCGGGGGCGGCCAAGAGGGGGGCGATGACTAGAGATGTGATGCTCCAACCAACTTTTAGCCTTGACCACCAGGAAGAATTTCGAGCGCCCCAAAAAAGTACCGAAGCCCAAGGGTTTTCACGTGCCGGGCCCTGGGAGACACTGTTTCGACACTCTTTTGATATGTTCCTGGGTGCTCGAAATTATTTCTGGGATGCGGTCCTTCAGTAGGACGGGAACAACATAAGACTAGAGGTCGGCACGAACGAAATAGGTACGGAAAGAATGGGTACAATGCCCAACAGCGGTTCCTGTTCACTTTGAATAGGACTCGATGTCGGTGTGGCCACGGCCTGTGTACATTTGAGACAGAAGGCCGCCTGCCCAGCAGCGGCCGCTGTTGGTTTGGGACAACAGTTGTTGTTGAGCATTGTACCCATTCTTTCCGTACCCATTTCTGGCGTCCAAAGGAGGGGGTGAATGTCATGGCGTGGGCCATGATATTTCTCCAGATTTCATGGCGCCTCTTCTTGCTTCATTGCGTCCCTGCCCCCACCCCCCTTGGGCCGCGCGCATGCCGCCAGCCATGATTCGGACCCCCCCTCTCTTGGACGCCCCCCTCTTGGCCGCCCCCGATTTGGGGGGGCCTTTTGGAGGTTGTGTGGGGAGCCTTTTTGGGGAGCCTCCTCGGGCTTTCCCTGTAGTGCCTTGGGGGCGCCTTGGGGCACCGGGGTGGCCTGTGGGGGAGCCTCTTGGGCTTGGGACTCCCCGGGGGGGGGACGGTATAACCGCGATCTTTGCTTGTCTTTGTATTTTCTGGGGCTCCAGGGCCCCCAGGGGGGAGGCGTATCTGACCCCCTCTTTCACCCTTAAATCGGGCGTGTCCCTCTACAGGAGGAACATTCAAAAATACATGAAAAATAGTGTGCGGACGATTTCTTTTTGTGTTTGCTATGTTTGGACTTTGTTTGCGCATGTTGTGGCCAATCACCAACCTATATTTCTTCAACAATCCACCTGTCGGAGGACATGCCCGACCTAACCCTACCCCCCCCGGGAACACCCCCTGGACCCAGCCCCCAACCCCAACACACCCACACCCGACGGGGGAGGGATCGAAGGGAGGGGGCTTCCCTTCGACTCGAACGCGACATTGCTAGACTTTCTCTCGCTGACAAGCTTGAGGAGGAGGGTGCAGGGAAAGGACAAAACAACGACTAACCGAGACGACGACTCGTATAGACAAGCCCCTGACACTCACTCACACACCGACAAGGTCGGCGATTACTTGGGCGGCCCTGAAGCCAATCTGCTTTTTATCCGCATTACTACTTCAGGTGTTCGCCTGCCTCTTCCAACGTAGTGCTGGCATGTCCCTCGCCCCAGCCTGCCCAGATATCGCCGATCGGTCGGCGATGCATCGCCGATTCCAGGTCCATGTGCCCCCCCCCATATGTGCCAGTCCCCCCTCTCCCCTGACCTTCCAGGGGGGCTAAAAAATAGCACCAGGGCATCGACGTCCTAATTCCTGTCGAGGTTTGAGGCAGGCCAGATAGGTTGATAGGTCTGGAGTGCTACTTTTTAGCACTCTGGAAG